GTCCCATCTGGACTAAACACAGAACTTAACTTTGGGGTGTTTTTGAAATAAATTCCCTGAACTCTCTATATATCATGAGCTATAATCTACATTGCGATACCCTATATATGCACTAAATATGGGCCTCTGTGGACAAAATATGAACCTAATTGTTCGATTTTTTCTACTCTAATTAGGTGGTGAGCATATAGTAACAATAGGACTGTTTTTGAAATCTTGGTGGCTGTACTTGGTCTTGATGTTTCCCTATGTGAAAGTGAAATATGCTAATAATAGTCTCCCGTCTATCATTCTCCTGGAAGATGATTTGGTCCATAGTAATTAGGCTCCTCTTCCACATCCAGCAATCATTTTTAAAATTCAGGATATATGTTTTAATTCACTTCTGGATATTCCCAATGTAGTGATATTCTTTCAACACAAGATGGCGAGGTGGAGACTTTTTGGTATGCAATTAGTGCACCATATAAGGCAAAGGATTGAAGTCCCCTCCCAGTTCTGACGAAGTCTGCGGTGATTGGCGGACGAAACGCGTCAACGTATTGACGTCACTACGCTCGGCGTCTTCACAGGGTGCGGCGCCCACGAGGCGGGAAGGAACGGCGGTGTCACAGCTCCCTGCTAGGTAGGCCCAAGACCTTTTGAGAACTACCAGTGGGCTATTATCACAGCGGTTCGCAAACGGCAATCCTTCAGGGAAATATATCTTCCACCGGTGGCAAGTTATTTAAAAAAAGCTTACGGCTGTTGAGATTTACAGAGCCTACATGGTGTTCATAGGGCATGTTGTATGGGCCTAATTTACCCTGTATACTCGGGGAATTTTTGGAAATCCTCTAAGGAGGAGAATCTACATATATATATATATATATATATATACATATGCTATCCTATTCAGGTATTTTTTGCTGTGACATAGCCACATCCTTATAAAACCGCAAATAACCTTCTCAAATTGAGCAATTTTTGGAAACCCTTTACTGGGTATATTAAATTCAGGTATCTACGGCCTGCTATATGCTATATACACACTATATGTGTTTGAAATCCACGCATCGTGTATACCTGGTCCCTCACCCCCATATGCATTTTTGGAAAAGCATCAAGGACCTGATCTTAGTTTCAAGTCGACAGGAGTCTTCTTGATCCTTATTGATGGTAATATACCCACATCTTTATGTGTGTTTTGTTTTCGGGATTACCTGATGCCCATGTTCTACACATTTATTATCTTTTTCTTATATATATCCTCAGAATCATTTGGTACTGTGGACCCTGTTCCATTTGGGGTGGCTATCCAGGAAGTCCCCTACATTGAGAGGCGGGTATGATAGTCTCACCTCTGAGACGGTAAACAGCAGCATCCATTGACTATTGTGGAGGGAGGCCTGGTAAATTTTGGATGTGATTTGGTTTCCATATTGCTAGATACATACCATGTATTTTTGTGTTCCAGCTTGTACATTCCAGGAGGTCCCTGACTATACTGGGAACACACCTACTGAATATACGGTTCACACAAATATTAAGCAGGAAACCTACGGAAATCCAGGATAACTATTCCATCATTACACCACTCTGCCTTATATGGTGCTCTGTTGGCTAAGATGACCCTTAATTGAAGACGCTAAGTGTTTTTTAACATGATTTTTTTATTTTTTTCATATGTAACACCGTTGCTTATGTTTAACCTCCCCATGATCTATGTGATCAAATAAAAGTATTGTTAAATTCATTTGAATTCATACTACTCCGCGTGGATCTTTTAGAACCTTCTTTTTCAGATAGGCGTGTTCTTGTCACACTATCATATTGTTTAGTATGCTGTCCCCTGGGTTTATGTATCCACACTTGTACAAGTGAGTCGGAGAGGTGCTTATGACATTAACAATTAGTGTCATTTTTGGTGGCTTGCTTTTGCTTTATTGTTGTGATTGATTGTATACACCTGTGGCCATGGAGGTGATTGGAACACCTGAATCCAATGATGTGGCCAATACTTTTGGCATATAGTGTATGTAATATAATTCTCAGTATCTGTTTTTTCCATATCATTGGACACAGTAAAACTTCTCAAGTTCTGAATACACACTGTAATTCTGAGAATTTTTTTATGTGGACACTGAACAATAAACCTCTTGTACTATATGTTTGGTGTAATTCTCAGTATATATTGACATTGCACAGTAATACTTATCTTTCATGGTAGGTATAATTCTCAGTGTCTTATTTTTCTGTACACTGGGTGTAATTCTCAGTATCTGCTCTTATTTCTGTTACAGGAAACACTGCATGGTATCATTTCTCATGTCCCCTATGCTGGGTGTAATTCTGCTATTATTCTGTATTTATTGGCACTGCACAAGAACACTTCTATTATCCTGTAATCTTGATGTAATTCTCAGTATCTATTCATTTTCTATCTATTCTATATATATATGGACTCTGCACAGTAACACTTCTCTTGTTCTGTTTGTGGGGTGTAATTTTAACCCCTTGCCTACTGGGCACTTATACCCCCTTCCTGCCCAGGCCAATTTCCAGCTTTCAGCGCTGTTGCACATTGAATTATAATTGCACGGTCATGCAACACTGTACCCATATGAAATTTTTATCATTTTTTTGAGGCAGATAGAGCTTTCTTTTGGTGGTATTTAATCACCTCTGGGATTTTTATTTTTTGCTAAACAAACCAAAAAGAGGAAATTTTGATTCTTAGTTTTTGTTTTAAAATTTTGTAAATAAGTGATTTTTTTCCTTCACTGATATGTGCTGAGGCTGCAGTGATGGGCACTGATAGATGGCACTGATAGGCATCACTGATGGGCACTGAAAGGCAGAACTCATATGGCACTGATAGACAGCACTGATAGGTGGTACCGACTGGCACTGTTAGGTAGCACTGACAGGCGGCACTGACAGGCATTGATAGGTGACACTGAAAGGCAGCTCAGATGTGGCATTGATGTGCACTGGTAGGCACTGATATGTGGCATTTATGTGGCACTGGCAGGTGGCACTGATAGCACTGACAGCTGGCATTGATGGACACTGACAGGTAGCACTGCTGGGGCTACACCGATCATCAGTGCCCTGATGATCAGTGTATATGTCCCCTCTGAGTAAAGCCGATTACCGGCTCTCCTCTCCTTTCCTCACGAGCTGTCAGTGTAACAGCTCGTGAGGAGAGAAATGCCGATAACCGGCATTTCCCTATTTACATGAGATCAGCTGTGATTGGACACAACTGATCACATGACCGAGCCAAAATCTTGGCTCTTTCCGTTGATCTGCTGTGTCCGAGGGACACAGCGCACCGCCAATCGCCGTGTGTTCCCGGAGCCGCACATGAGCGGTTAGAATGGCAGGTCGTCATATGACGTCCTCCCAGAACGAGAGAAACCAGCCTGCGCCCGTCATTGCCTTATATTGTGGGCAGGAGGCGGTTAAAGGGTTCAGATGGCAGTTTCTGAAATGCAGAATGAACCAGATTTGAATCACACGGAATGACTAGGGAATAGACGGAGGGAGCCACATGGGAGATTGTCTGTCTGTATAAGGGATTAAGACCCTTATACAAAGAGAAAGAGGCCAATAGTCTTTGAAACAGAATTGAAAAGGCAGAAAACCTGACCCTTGACAGTGCTGGGAGCTAACCTGGTAAGACTCCTGGCAATGAGGGAAAAAGATAGTAAAATAATGTTAGTCCATCCAACTAGGACGTCACCTAAATACTGAAACATGCTGGTAGGAGGAGTCTATCTCAATCTTGCCTACAATTTTTTGGCAGTGTCCAATACTCCTGCAGGCAGCAGTATAATCCAATTATACTAATTTAGGGCAGTATACGAAGACAGTATACGACCAGTATCAAGTCTGTAGTGAGGTTACAACTGTGCATAAAGCTTGCCAACTCAGTGGAAAAAGAATGGAAGAACCACCCAGGCTGATATAGGTTTTGGCCTGTGGATTAAGTCACTCACTGACCAGACGTTTGTAATAGGATGGGGAAGGTGAGGAGGGGCCAGATAATCTCATCATTATTCAGACTATGCTATCCTTTAAATTATTATAGGTTAAGTTGATATCAGCATGTACACATCCACAGATCACTTAATTACATAGTTAGTCTGGCTGAAAAAAGACAAAAGTCCATCCAGGTTGATTTACTAAAAGCAAATATACTGTGCACTTTGCAAGCGCAGTAGCTCCAGAGCTTAGTAAATGAGGGGAAAGTGCCGATTCCCATCATCCAATCATGCGCAAGCAAAATGCTGTTTTTTTTTTTTTCTTGCATGTGATTGGGTATGCTTTGTAAAGTGAGGTTTTACCTAATTTACTCAGCTCTGGAGCAATTGCATTTGCAAAGCACACAGTCTATTTGCCTTTAGTAAATCAACCCCAATGTGTCTGTGAGAAGCAAAGTTGGGTACTTTTTGTGAATCCCTGTGTCTCTCAAGAGACGGGAAATTACAGAAGACCTCCGGGCATTATTTTTAGTTTCTCATAAAGCGGGACTGTGCCCGCACTGCATGAGTTAACTGCTTGTTTTTGTCTAGGGGATTGCAGAGTGGAGATATACTTACCTAATCCATCAATGATCAGTCTCTGCCGCTTCTGCCCCCTAGAGGTCTGACTTCATCACTGGCCACAGACTGGCTCTTGAAGCGAGGATGGCAGGAACAGTCCACCACTGGATGTGGGGGAGCACTGTTTTCCATAAGATTGAAGGATTGGGTAAGTATAGTTTTTCCTTGTGCCCGTGGACAAAATGAGCAGTTAACCCATGCAGTGCGTGCACAGCGCACTGCATGGGGAAAATTTTTTTTTGCCAAGAGTTGTTCTTTGAAGCAATCACCATCACACACACGTTTTTCTTATTCAAATACTACTTTTAATAACTCTGGCTATCATAAAACAAACTGTACAAAACACAACCAATCTGTGAAAAAATAAAATAAATACAATCACATTGAAAGAACTTTGTAACAAGACCTGTATCAAGTCCATAGTGTGTCTTGGTGAAGCGAGGTTGGGTACTGTTTGTGAGCCTGGGATGCCAACTTCTGTCTGAGCTCTCGTACTTCTGACAGGAGAGCGCGCTCTTTATTCTCCAAGTCTCCCCTCCCTCGATCCAAAGAAACTGCAAAAGTACAAAATTACACATGCTATCAAAGAAAATCCTTGTCACTTCTATAAACAGTAACTGGTGGCCCAGTGTTATCTGCAGGTGTATGTAATGGAGCAGCAAAAGAATAAGGATTTAAGTGTCAAGTGTATAATGCACAGCAGCAAGAAATAATCAGACACTGAGCAGGAATAAGTATGCAGACCATGATCTGGCCTAGGTAATGCAACAGTTTCCCTATATTCCCCACCCCTTTCACCTACAGAACATACAATTAGGTCCATATATATTTGGACAGAGGCACAATTTTTTTTTTCAGGTTTTTAACCAAAACATATTCCATCTATAGTTATATAATGGATATGGGCTGCAAGTGCACACTCTCAGGTTTAATTTGAGGGTATGTACATCCAAATTGGAGGAAGGGTTTAGGAATTACAGCTCTTAAGAGTAACCATCCCCCCTTTTTCAAGGGACCAAAAGTAATTGGACAAATGAATATAATCATAAATAAAATGTTCATTTTTAATATTTTGTTGAGAATCCTTTACTGGCAATGACTGCCTGAAGTCTGGAACCCATGGACATTACCAAAGACGGGGTTTCCTCCTTTCTGATGCTTTCCCAGGCTCTAACTGCAGCTGTCTTCAGTTGTTCTTTATTTGTGGGTCTTTCTGCCTTTAGTTTTGCCTGCAGCAAGTGAAATGCATGCTCAATTGGGTTGAGATCAGGTGATTGACTCATCCATTTCAGAATATTCCACTTATTTTCCTTCAAAAGCTCCTGGGTTGCTTTTGCAGTGTGTTTTGGATCATTGTCCATCTGTACTGTGAAGCGCTGTCCAATCACCTTTGCTGCATTTGGCTGAATCTGGACTGACAGTTTATCTCTAAACACTGCAGAATTCATCCGGCTGCTTCTGTCACCTTCTGTCACATCATCAATAAACATCAATGACCCAGTGCCACTGGAAGCCATGCATGCCCATGCCATCACACTGCCTCCACCATGTATTACAGATCACGTTGTGTGCTTTGTGTCATGAGCTGTTCCAAGCCTTATCCACACTTTTTTCTTCCCGTCATTCTGGTACATATTCATCTTAGTTTCATTTGTCCAAAGAATGCTTTTCCAGAACTAGTCTGGCTTTTTAGGTTTTTTTTGGCAAAGTTTAATCTGGCTTTTCTATTCTTCAGGATTATGAATGGTTTGCACCTTGTGGTGAACCCTCTGTATTTGCTCTTGTAAAGTCTTCTCTTGATTGTAGACTTTGACAAGGATACGCCTACCTCCAGGAGAGTGTCCTTCACTTGTCTGGATGTTGTGAATGGGTTTTTTCTTTACTAGAGGGAGGATACTGCGATCATCCACCACTGTTGTCTTCCATGGACACATCCATGCCATTTCATGTTGCTGAGCTCACCAGTGTGTTCTTCTGTCCTCAGAACGTACCAAACTGTTTATTTGGCCACTCCTAATGTTGCTGCTATCTCTCTGATGGATTTGTTAAATTTTTGAAGCCTTACAATGGCCAGTTAAACTTGAATGGACAGCTCCTTTGAACGCATGATGTAGGCTTACAGCAATAGATTACAAATGCAAATACCACACTTAGAATCAACTCCAGACCTGTCACCAAAATCAACTCCAGACCTGCTTAATGGATAAAGAAATAACAAAGGAATAGCCCACACCTGGCCATGAAACAGCTTTTGATTTAATTGTCCAATTGCTTTTGGCCCCTTGAAAAAGGGGGGATGGCTACTCTTAAGAGCTGTAATTCTTAAACCCTTCCTCCAATTTACATGTACATACCCTCAAATTGAATCCAGGAGTGTGCACTTGCAGTCCATATCCATTATACAACTATAGCTTGAATATGTTTTGGTAAATACCTGAAAAAAAAATTAAAATTGTGCCTGTGTCCAAATATATATGGAACTGACTGTATGTTCTGTAGGTGAAAGGGGTGGGCAATAAAGGGAACCTGTTGCACTACCTAGGCCAGATCTGCTGCAGTGCTTGACATAATTAAATCACATATCTATACAAGAACTGCAAACATTTGAAAGTTGCAAATTCAATTACATCATTAGGAAGGAAGGAAAAGAAAGACAACTGTATTTAGATGTAGAGCTAAATAAATACGTGCAGCATCCCCAGCTCAGTTCAGAGGAGAATAGTCCTATAAAATGATTAGAGGTTCTGTCAAACTACAGTTACTTTTGGTAAGTCCTTTAAACTACCTTATACACCCTTTATAGTGCAAACCACTTACAGTGGGTGGAGGAGTCAGAGGAAGACACATCATTTAAGCAAATATTTTCCGTCTTCTTCTGACCATCCGCCTCTTCCCGTAAAGAATTTCTCATTGGCACACCTTGATTCAGGACTTTGTCTGTAGAAAATGGGAAAAAAAGTAAGGATAAGGTTCCTGGAGGAAAATATTGGTCTAGCAGACGATACTTTTGGAGGTTAACCTGGAAAACACATTAGGGCAGTAAATGGGTGAATGTATCGTCTCTACAAGAATAGCGGCCATTCCAGACAACAGAGCAACCTTCACCACTGTACTGCAAGAGTAATCTGTCTGAGAAGCATTGAGAAGTCACACTGGTTATCTCCCTGTGAATCAGTCAGTGTCGGCAGGATTTCAGTTCATCTGCGCATGTACCTTATGTGTAGTTTGGTCAGTTAACAATAATATGCAAATGCCAAAAGCTGCACACACTCTGGCAATGCTTTACTCTTTAACCACTTCCCGTCCGGCCCATGTATATAAACGGCTGGACAGGAGCAGTGCAGGAGCAGGTTGCCGTTCAGAAACGGCGCCCGCCATTTTAGCCTGTATGCGCTCCCTGGGAGTGTGCGGAACACCGATCGCTGTACAGGACCTATGTGTGAGGTCCCGATCATGTGATCACTGATTGGCCAATTAGTGATCACATGAATAGTAGTAAGCAAGATGTCACTTCTGACATCATTGTTATTATTACATTACATCGAGTTTATATAGCGCCAAAGGGTTTGCTCAGCGCTGTACAATAGAGGAGGGGGGGACAATACATGAAACAGTACAGCAACTACAAACAGCACACGAGGGGTTAGAGGGCCCTACTCTTTCGAGCTTACACTCTAGAAAGGAGGGGGTAGTGGTACAGGAGGAAATGGCTGTGGGGGATGGAGTGGTGGGAGGAATGAAGGAGAACGGCTGTTAGGTGAGGGTGGGGTAGACATCATTGCGTACTACGTGTGAATTCTGTGCATGATTACAGAGGTCACATGGTACAAGGCTATTCACAACAGCCTTGTACCATGTGACAAGCTGTGACCAATCACAGCTCTCACAGTATTTCTCAATGGCTGCATGAATGCAGCCAGAGAGAAAGAGAAATGATTGCTTTCACAGCCTTTATGCGTGTAAAAGGAATCAGTGTGAGAAAAAAAAAAAAAAATCACCCCCCACAAGTAGTACAGTGTCACCATGGTGACACTGTACTGCAAGGGTGACAGTATGTTAAAAAAAAATTAATATAAAAAAATAAAATAAACGTAAACAATTTTTGAAAAATTATAATTTTTTGTTATAAACTAATTTGGGTTATTTTTTTTGTACTAAAAAGATAAATGAATACATTTTGGCCAAGATTTATGAAGAAAGATTATTTATTTGAAACATTTTATAAGAAAAAAACACTTTTCAAAATTTTTGGACCAAAAAAAAAAAAAAATCCCAGTAGTGAAGAAATACCACCAAAATAAAGTTTTATCGGTCTCAAAAAAATGCTACAAAATTCCTATGGGTACAGTGTTGCATGACCGCGCTATTGTCATTCAGAGTGTGATAGCACTGAAAGCTGAAAATTGGCCTGGACAGGAAGGGGGTGAAAGTGTCCGGACTGGAAGTGGTTATAAGGTAAAACATGCATTTTCAATGTTCCACCAATGACAAAAGTCTCTATTTCCAATTTTTATATGAATACATTTTTAAATATTATTTAACATTATTTTTCAATTTAATTCTGTCCATATCATCCACCGATGCCTCTCCAGTAAATTGCACTAATGCTAAGAGTACTGTCACTGCTATTTTTAAGGCGAGTGGGTATTTCATCGCAGGAGCCGCTGGTGTATGGCACAAACAAAGCATAATGATATAGTCATATACGCTAAACTGCATACATTTTATTTGCAATAAATGGCTCAATAATAGTAAACTATATTTGCACTATACACCAGCAGTTCTGAATGTGCATCTCTTGCTGACGGGGACCTAAAGCAATGAGTTGCGCTGCTCCACCCAGTGTCCTGAAATTAATATTTTAGATAGAATTTATATAAAAGTGTAATTTGATTGCTTTAGTCCCTTGTCACCATAACCTGTATAGTTATACTGTCTCAATGCAGCACTATAGAAACCCTTTAGGAAAGCAGAGCATGTTCACCAATAATGCAGAGAGCAAGATGATATTGCCACTCCAGGATCGATCAATGGAGAAGGCAGGAATCGTAATGTGGATGTTGTAGCAATCATGCCACAGAGATGGACGTGGTTCAACCATTTTGGCTCCAACTTCCATCTTGGCAAAGGATCATCCATCTTGTACAAACATATCTCCCCTCTTTCTCCCCCTCCCTCTCTGAGAGTCACAGTGACATTTGGTCGGTGTGTGTGTGTTGGAAGTGTCACAGGCTGGCCAGGGCACAGCAGGGAGCTCCGAGCTATAAACCATCTCTGAGCTGGGTGTCAGGCGGGCTGGTAAGCTGAGCAATCTGGCACTTCGTAAAAAGATAACCCACGCCTTCCCGAGTTCCAAGACATTCCAGAGGAGTAAGGAACTAGATAACACTTTTAAAATCCATTTTTCCCCTATGTCTCATATCTTGGAATATGAGAGACTTACATAAAAACCAGGCCTATCTTCGATTGCCCACTCCCTGATGGGAATACCTAGGAAAGCAGAAAATTACATCTCTTGAACCCTTCAAGTATGTATTTCATATTTCATATGTAACCGTTCCTCAGATGCGTCTGCATATTAATCTACCCGCGGGTGGAATGGTACTTGTGCCTAGGAAAAGTTATGAGCCAAAATATGAGCTATGACAGATTTTGGTTCCAGTTTGGGTCTCTGCCCAGACAATCCCTCCCCAAATGAGGCATTGGTCCTTGGCTTCAGAGACTCCCCCTGCTGGGGGACTACAAAATAGGCTGTCAAGCCTAAGAGAAGGAGTTGAAGAATTCTCCCGTTTAACATCAGAACCAACTTGGGAGACGTGCCCTTTTGCTCTGAAACTTGAACTGCTTAACCCAAGGCTGATTGGCAAGTACTTTAACCCTTTAACCTCCTGTTACCTCTTTGCTGTTCTGTTGTTCTCTGTATATTTATACATATATTGGTTACATCTTTTTTCTGTAAATATTTTTATTGCACACCCTTTTGACCTTTTAGTAATAAATCTTTCCTTCTGAAAGTGTTGAACTGTTTCTATAGCGCATTAATGCAACTTACGAATTCCTGCCTCTAAAAGAGCACTACTGTGTTTAACCCTCTGTATAACCTGTCTGCAGTGAGAGTGCTATTCAGACGATTCTCTCAACCATGTGTTATTGCTGATATTGCCGAGTTTCCTCTTTCTGTACAAAAAGGAGGTGGTGGCAGTGTGAAGGGTTAATTGCGTAATTAACCTGACCCAGTAACAATCGCATTCAGGCTGCCGGTATATCGATTTGTGGTCCATTAGCTGGAAAATCGTTGTGCAGGGCGCAGCTGGGCGTGGCATTGTTACGCGCGTGGCATCGCGGTTTCAGATTGGCTAGTCCTTCGGTCACGAGTTTGGTGGGAAGGTCAGGGGTCTGACGCGTGATCGTCACAGATGTTTACAACTAATTTGTATTAAATAGATAACTTAACTTTGGGGTGTGTGTTTTAAATTAAAAAGTGCACTTCTAGAGTGGCTATAAATCCGCAGAAATGTACTTGTAAAGGTCACAAAGGGGTACATTTAGCATCAATGCTGTTCACAAACTTTTACACTGACCATAATATTCCTTGTCAGTCTGTAGTAAGATGTCTCTCTGCCGACACCTCCTGTACTTTTCCTGTGTGCAAAAACTTCCTCCTTTCAGCATCTTGTGTGGATTTTGCGAGCTGTTCTGTTTCTAGCTGCACAAGTCTGTTAGTAGTCTCTGCCCACTATTCACACAGGAGCAAAAACAAATAACACAAAGATTTAAGAGGCGAAAGCAAAGTTGTAACAGACACATCATCAACTTATTAATTCAATAATGCAGCACGTCATGTAACCCACACAAGTTAAGAAACATTGATTTGAAGGATAATTTCACCTTTCATAACAAGTATAACAATATTAACCACTTGCCTACTGGGCACTTATACCTCCTTCCTGCCCAGGCTAATTTTCAGCGCTGTCACACTTTGAATGACAATTGCGCGGGTCATGCAACACTGTACTCATATTAAATTTTTATCATTTTTTTCACACAAATAGAGCTTTCTTTTGGTGGTATTTATTCGATGCTGGGTGTTTTATTTTGTGCGCTATAAACATAAAAAAAAAAAAAGAGTAAAAAATAAAAAAATTAAAAAAAAAGTTTTTGTTCCTATTATAAAATTTTGCAAACAGGTAATTTTTCTCCTTCACTGATGTGCATTCATGAGACTGCACGGATAGGCGGCACTGATGATGCTGCATAGGTGGGTGGCATTGCTGGGCACTGATCATCAGTGCCGATCACTTCTCTGACAACGCTGTGACAGTGTGAGGAAAGTGCAGCTGATAACCGACAACTGTATTTACCCAGTGATCTGCTGTTTCATTGGACACAGCTGATCACGTGATAAAAGGCCGCAGTGATTGGCCGTTTACCATATCCCGTGATCAGCTGTGTCCGTAGGACACCGTGATCACCGGAGCCGCTGGGGGCGTGCAGGGGGCATGTTCTGGAATGACGTCCATGTGACATTTCTCTTCCATGTGGTGCTATTGGTGAGAGCATGAAATGGGAAGGGGTTTTCTTTGTTAAGCAACACCCGTTTATAAATCAACTGTCTGCTGGACACCTGTTTAATGAACAACTAGACTCAACTGTAGTTGAATTCATGCTAATTAGGATTTTATTATTATAAAATTTAGCTTTGCTTCTAAGATTTTCATTGGGGTGTATTCATTTTTGCAACATGGTCTTGAATGAATTTGTTAAGAAAAATACTTTGTGTGTGCAAATTAGCAAATCTTGTTTGCAATCAATGGCTCGCATATGTTGGAGGATTTTGTAGTCTATTGTCCCATAGAAAATGTTGATTCTGAAAGGAAAAGGAAAGGTTTTCTTACATGCACATGAACTTTAATGGAATCCCAATCTTAGTCTGTAGGGTTCAATATTGAGTTGGCCCCGCCCTTTGCAGCTATAACAGCTTCAACTCTTCTGGGAAGGCCGTCCACAAGGTTTAGGAGTGTCTATGGGAAGGTTTGACTATTCTTCCAGAAGTGCATTTGTGAGGTCAGGCACTGATGACAAACGAGAAGGCCTGGCTCACAGTCTCCACTTTAATTCATCCCAAAGGTGTTCTATCGGGTTGAGATCAGGACTCTGTGCAGGCCAGTCAAGTTCCTCCACCCCAAACTCGCTCATCCATGTCTTTATGGACCTTGCTTTGTGCACTGGTGTGCAGTCATGTTGGAACAGGAAGGGGCCATCCCCAAACTGTTCCCACAAAGTTTGGAGCATGAAATTGTCCAAAATGTTTTGGTATGTTGATGCCTTAAGAGTTCCATTCACTGGAGCTAGGGGCCAAGCCCAACCCCTGAAAAACAACCCCACACCATAATCCCCCCCCTCCACCGAATTTTACACTTGGCACAATGCAGTCAGGCAAGTACCGTTCTCCTGGCAACCGCCAAACCCAGACACGTCCATCGTTTTGCCAGACAGGGATGAATGATTCTTCACTCCAGAGAACACATCTCCACAGCTCTAGAGTACAGTGTCAGCGTGCTTTACACCACTGCATCCAACACTTTGCATTGCACTTGGTGATGTAAGGCTTGGATGCAGCTGCTCGGCCATGGAAACCCATTCCATGAAGCTCTCTACGCACTGTTGTTGTGCTAATCTGAAGGTCACACCTAGTTTGGAGGTCTTTAGCTATTGACTCTGCAGACAGTTGGCGACTTCTGCGCACTTCAGCATGCGCCGACCCCGCTCTGTCATGTTACGTGGCCTACCATTTCATGGCTGAGTTTGCTGTTTTTCCACTTTGTTATAATATAAAAAACAGTTGACCGTGGAATATTTAGTAACAAGGAAATGTCATGGATGACTTATTGCACAGGTGACAACCTATCACGGGACCACGCTTGAAGTCACTGAGCTCCTGAGAGCGACCCATTTTTTCACAAATGTTTGTAGAAGCAGTCTGCATGCCTAGGTGATTGATTTTATACACCAGTGGCCATGGAGGTGATTTGGAGGGGTGTCCCAATACTTTTGGCAATATAGCGTGTGTATATATTATATATATTTATAGTAAATGCACATTTTTTAAAGTTAACGTATCCTTTAAGTGTGTTCCTGTGTGAATTATTGAATTGTTCAATTGAAGTCAAGTTCATATAGAAGACTTTATAAAAAGATAAGATGGCTGCCACTTGCCTTTCGAGTTTCCAGCTCTTTGACGACATTGTGCAGCTGCTTCTCCTGCTCCTTAATACCCTCGGTCAGTGACAACATTTCTTCGTAATGTTTGCTTCGCTTGAGGTCGTCCTGCTGCTGTTTGTGAAGTGCCTGAATTTTCCACTCAGTCTCTGAGCTCAGATGGTCGGCTTTTGCCAAACTCTCTTCCAGCAACTGATGGGATAATACAAGACACACATGTCTAAGATGGGCAATGTGCTAACAACATACTTATACATACTATATGGACAAAATTATATGATCACCTCTTCAAATTACTGAGTTTAGGTGTTTCCAGTGAAGAGTAGTTAATGCTATGGTATGCAAAGGCATTTAAGACATTTCCAACCTTGTGGTAATAGTTTAGGGGAGAATCTTTCCTGTCCCAGCATGACTTTGCCCCTGTACATAAAGCCTGTACCATGAAGCCATGGATTGATGTCTTTGAGTGGGAATTTGACAGGTACCCGCTCCCACTTCCGGTCTGATCGCCTAGGCGACCAGATGTGGAAGGTGCCCTCCCTCCCTGTAGTCTTTTGGGACATGTGACAGGTCCCAGAAGACTACAGAACCATTCATGAAGCGCAGCGCTACTCGCGCGCATGCGCAGTGGGTACCCAGCTGTGAAGCCACAACCTGTCACAGCTGGGTGCCCACACTGAAGATGCCGGCCTCCTGGAATACAGGACGGCCGGTGAAACGGGCTGCGGGGGACACACCGTGGGATCGTGGGACAGGTAAGTGGCTGGTTTTTTTAAAAGTCAGAAGCTACAGTTTTTGTAGCAGCTGACTTTTATTTTTTGACAGGGTGAGTGGAACTCCACTTTAACAAAGCATTTTTGTACCAGTTTAACGCACACAGAGTTATCGTCCTGAAGGTTTATGAATACCCTTTGGGTACACTCAATATCCCATTACCACACCTAGTGGGCAAGTATTTTTCCATGTATACTTGAATAGTATGACATGCAGTCAATCGACCTGTGTGATCCTTCTTATTAAAGGCAAGCCATAGATGATTTGATTTTCTTTCCTGCAACCACAACAGCTCTGTGGGAGCTATTGTGTTCTGCTGGTGGGGAGCCTTCCCCGTCAGCAAAACACAATGATTACTGCTAGCAGCTACAGATGTCAGTAGTAATCACATGTAAAAAAAATCTGACAGGCAGTGTAGCAATCGTGCACACAGAGATGGACGCGGTCATCCAATTTGCTCCAAACCCTCCATTTTGTATCTCTCTCCCTCTTTCCTCATCCCCCGCTCCCTCTTTGTTGAGTGACATGTGGTCTGTTTGATGCAGAGTTCAAAAAGGCATCAAGGTCCAGCGGGAGAGCTCATGGCTATAAACCCCAATTAGCCTGGCACCCATATGTCTGCAAGACTCTTGCTGGAGAAGATTCGTAAAGCCATAAACCAAGTCCTTCACTGAGTTCAAAGACATTCCAGATAAGCCATAAACCAGACATCACATTCAAGATCCACTTTCCCCTATGATTACATATCTTGAAATATGAAAGACTTACATAAAAACCAGGCATATATTCAGACAGCTCACTTTAATACAAGTCGCCTGATAGGTTACATCCCCTAGCTGACACATACAGGAGAGCAGAAAATAATATCTCCTCAACCATCCCAGCAGGTATGTCATATTTCATATCTAGACGTTCAGCAGATGATTCTGCATATTAATCTACTCGTGGATAGAATGTTATATGTATCCAGGGAAAGTTATTGCCCTGATATCAACTTGGGAGGGATTTTGGTCCTAGCTGGGGCCTCCGCCCACAACTCCCTCCCCAAATGAGGAGATTGGTTCTCTGCTTCAAGGAGACACCCTGCTGAGTTGCTAGAAAAGCTGTTATGCTTGGAGCAGAAAGCTAAGCTGAGTCGAGCTATGTTGAAGATTCTCCCTTGTAACATCGGAACAAACTCTGGGAGACGGCCCTTTTGCTCTGAAACTTGAAAGCTGCTTAACCCAAGACTTTTGGCAAGTACTGTATCTAAATTCCTTTCTGTTATCTCTTTGCTGTGCTATTGCTCTTTGTGTATATGATATGTGTATATATATATATATATATGTATATATATATATATATATATATATATATATATACACACACACACTACATCTTTTTCTGTAAATATTTTTATTGCACCCTTTTGACCTTTTAGTAATAAATCTTACTTTCTGAAAGTGTTGAACTGTTTCTAAAGCTCTTTAATGCAAACTAAGAACCCCTGCCTCTGAAGAGCGCTACTGTGTGTGTGTTTTAAACTTTGGTATATCTCTGCCTGTGATAACAGTGGTATACCAAAGCTTATGCAAACATCATGGTGTTATTGCTGATATTGCCGAGTTTCCTCTTTCCCTGTACAAAAAGGAGGTGGTGGCAGTGTAAAGGGTTAATTGCGTAATTAACCTGACCCAGTAACAATCGCTCCCAGGCTGCAAGTACGCAGATTGTGGTCCATTAGCTGGAGAATCTTTGTGCAGGGTGCAGCTGGGCGTGGCATTGTTACGCACGTGACAGCACGGTTTTAGATTGGCTAGACCTTCGGTCACGAGTTTGGTGAGAAGGGCTTGGGTCTGACGCCACGATCGTCACAGGCAAGTTTTACCCACATCAATCAATTGAACGACTTCAGTACAACTAACCTGCCCATACATTCATCGAACCTCAGCCGGTCCCTGCTGAACCAGCTGAGATCTGATCCATCTATGGTCGGCTTAAAACCTGTACAGCTGTAATATATTGTTAAAGCAAGCAAACCCTTGAAAAACTGAAATTATGCAATACAATTGTATTTTATACAATTTGTTTAATAAAAAATATATTGACACTAAAAAAAAAAAGATGCTGACAATACTAACTTGACACTAAAAACATACATCAACATTACATTTTAGTCCAACATGAAAACCTGCAATGCATAAACAAGGTAAACCCATGCCATGTTTAATTTCATGCCAACACTGATTCTATTCTGTTGGTACCTTGCAAATCTGTCTTTTAATAGTCTTGTACCATTATGTTATGATTTTTTTTAGCGCAGTTCCACATGAAAAGGCTTTCAATTACCTTTTTCTCTTAGCTGAAATGCAGTTTCTGACACCCTCCTCCAATGCTATATGCTGGCCTGGCTGAATATTGGCCACACACTTTATCATAATTTGTCCTCACAAAGACTTGTAAGGCGAAAGAAGAGGAAGGGGTGTTTCTGATCTGGTCTGTGAATTTACAAAGTGCACTGGGCAGTGCGGTCAGACTTTAGTAATAACTAGACTGCAGTCATATTTAGACAGACTATACAATGGTTTAACAGGAAAGTGTGGATAAAACTATATAAATCGGGTTTGTAGTACGACTGATTATCTAGGTCTAACTTCAATCGTGCTTTAAAAAAGAGTGGGTTTTAAAAAAAAAAACAACAAAAACAAAAAAATACAAAAAAAAACCCCAAACATTTATGCTCACCTACATGGCTGCAGCATCGGATCGATGTCCCATACTGGCTCTACATCAAGAACTGAGCAATAAAAGACCTGTGATTGCTCAGTTCTTGGGCCCGCTCTGAGCATAGAACAGAGACTGTCAGTCAACACTCAGTGCTCTGGCCATTCAGTACTCACTGCAGTGCAGGGCTGTGGAGGGGGCAGAAGCAGCTGGCTCAGGTTCTCAGCAGCAAGCTGAGAGGTTGAGCCAGCTGCCAGTCTGGCATCTGGGCGGATCCCAACATTATCGTCAGGATCACTGCAGAGCCTGGACTGACTCTGAAGTAGGATGACAGTGGGCTTTTGGCTGATTTTGGGTCACAGGAGTGCAGAACTAAGTGCATTACTGTGACCCACAGAAGAAGTATGGTCAAAGCTCATTTAAGTGAGTGCTCTCACCCCCCTCCCAACACTAAAAATGTCTCATGCATGCAGCTTTGCACTGCTAATATCAAAACATATTTAAGTCTATTCAAAAAATCAAAAAAGTCTATTCAAAATCAAAACATATTTTTTAAGCAAAAAATTATTCTGTTACTTTTACTTTACTCCCACTTCCCAGTAAATTTGGGGCATTGCCAACGTGCCAACGTAGCCAGAGCTTCAGTAGGAAGTGCCTTACAGGAAGATCAGTCAAGAAACTGCAGGATTTCACCAGATTTCATGGGAAAATGTTTTTTTCTCACGTTTATGTGCTGCAATAGCTTCTGCGACATGTCTACAACACCGCTTATGCTTCCATAGCTACAGCAATATAGAAACAAAACACCAGATTTCTAGCAGCGCATGTACATGATCTGACACAGACATCACTGGTGGGCTGGCAGCAAAATAAAAAAAAAAAAAACACAGAAGAAATAACTGGTCACCGATGACATAACAGTCAAAATAGCATCGTGGGATGATTGGAAGAAAAAAGGAGCATTAGCATGTGGCAGCGCTGAAACTAACCTTCTGGTCCTTTAAATCAGCCTCAGTTTCCATTAGTCTCCAGAACATCTGTTCTTCCAGGTCAGCCTTTCCGTCGGTTAGCATCAAGTTCTCCTTTAACTTCCTGTCTCTCTTTTTCCTGCTCTTTAGCAAGTTGCTGTCAAATGGAATATGAAGTGTGTATATATTCATTGTCCAGTCACATACAAAAAATTTCAAAGGAAAATATGCCTGTGGCTTCTCTAAAGCCGCGTACACACGATGAGAATATCAGACGCCTGTTTTGTTTTTGTTTTTTTCTGCCTGCTACTCTCACAAAGAAAGCAAAAAGGTTATTAAAGATACGAAAATTCTCCTATTAAAGAAAAGAATTTCGAAAGTGATGTCATGTATAGTATTGTATTATATTTTTGGACGACTACTGTACTGATTAAAAAAGAAAATCGTACAATCTGGTATCGTACGAGAAAAAGGTTTGTACTTGTCCCTTCAGATATTGTCGCACAAATTGTCATGATTGGCTCTCGAAAGCTGTGTACTAACGGTCTGATTATTGGACGATCTGCCCTCGTACGAAAATTTTTGTACAATATTCTTATAGTGTGTACGGGGCATAAGTCTACCAAACCAACCCACCGCCTTAAGCTTTTGACTAGGTTATAAGGTTGGAAGTGTCACTGGGGTTATCTTAATATACAAGTAGCTTTCCAGCACCAACAAAAATGGATTATGGCTATCGATGCTTGTGTGGGATCACACCGAGGGGTGAGTTGTAGCAGTTTCAGGGGGTATGAACACTTTTTCACGTCACTGTATGTACATTGTTCCGTGAGGTTTCCAGTTTGGCTGTTACTGCAGCACCCGCTATCCTTAAGCCATTCCAGTAACGTATGTAATTGGGATGAGATCCTTGTTGTATGTTAGCTTTTCTTTCTGGTAGAAAGAGCTATAAAGTTTTCTGCAAAGCAGTCTTTAAAACATATGTAAAGCCAACACATTTTTTGTATTGGATAGAGTAGAGCATAGTTGTGACCTCTCTCAAGTTTTTTGTTTCCATGTCTATGTCCTCTCGGGGAGATTTTCTTACCCCAAAGCATGTCGTAACAGATCTCCCTGAGCAAGGGGACAATTGTCATCAGAACATGTTTTCCCCACTGGAAGATATCCCCTCACCACATGTTCCTGTGACAACACAAAATCATGGATTTCCTCTTACCTTCTGAACTAGAGACAATGGCTGCCAGTAATTATAGCAAAAGAGGTAAATCTCCGCAGTGAAAACACAGACAGCATTAAAACCCTGACAAGGGAGCCAACACTTGCCTTACTCTTAGCTTAACATACACTGATTTATAAAATGACAAAAGATGTCAGAGGTATCTGTACCTGTGCAGCAATTCCAGGTTTCATCTGCAGCTTAAATTTAGGACTGCCAGAAAAATGGAGCAGGCATAAAGAGGGGAGGGCAGTACTCTATATTACTTTTACGTTTAGCATTTTTATTACACTAAAGGTCATACACCTGTGTAGTTCAGTAACAGAACATCCAGATGAGACCTGGGATCAGAACATACTTGCTCATAAAAGCGTCTCTGGGCCTCCAGTTCCATCTGTTTGATCTCCACGTCTTGCATGACAGCTGCAGTTTCTCTCTCTCGCATGCACATCTTGCGTTCAATGTCATCATCCAGGCGTTTGAGCTCCATCTTGCGCTGATCCTGCTGGTGCCTCAAGAAGCGCCTGCGTGCACCATCCAGAAGCTGAAGCTCTTTTAATTTGAGCTCTCTTTTGATAGCTGCCAACCTAGGAAAAATGGGACTTGGTAATATGCCAGGGTTACAGTCAGAAAATGAAGATGTCGACATCTAAAGAAATGTAACTATCTATACAAAATGAATGAGAGATACGCAAAATAAATGTAAATTGGTTGCAAAGATAACATTTTGTTTTACCTTAATGCATTCTCTGCACTAAAGTAAAAAACCTTTTAAAGAGTAGCTCCCCCCTGCCCCCCTAAATACTCAGTTGAGCCTAATTTCGATCCAGTACTGTGCATGTCTGCAGAAGCTCCTCTCCCAGCTCTCGCAGGCTTAGCTGAAAGCGAAGAGAACCATTGGCTGCTGCTGTCAGTCAAAACCAGTGAGCAGACAGATGGGGGGGGGGTTGCAGAGTGGAGCCGGGCTCTGTGTCATCTGAATAGACGCAAAAAGCCCAGCTCAGGATTGAGCACGCATGAGTGCCCCCATAGGAAGCAGCTTCCTATGGGGGCACACAGCGAGGGAGGAAGAGCTAGAGCACTTGTAGCAGACCCCAGAATAGGAGGGATTAGGGTTGCTCTGTGCAAAAAACCATTGCACAAAGCAGACTAGTATGACAAGTTTTATTATTTTATTAAGAAACAATTCAAGGTTTACAATCACTTAAAAAGTACATTTTCATGAATGACTGTACTTCATCTACAACCCAATCTTAACCGCAATCTGTAGATGAACGATTTCAAGCATGCAGCCCCTTGCTAAAGCAATGCTAATCTATTTTGTACTGTAGAATAAGGAGCGCACGTTGAGAGCCAGACTGCTTTTTTCAAGCAGAGCTCCAATCAACAGTGCTGCTTAGGGAGCAAAAGTGCTGTTGATTGGAGCAGGTTGGGATGTCGGATTGCCCAGGCTGGTTAGTTTACAAGACAGCAGCAGTCCAATTCTCCAATGTCTTGCCAGAACAGGGTATTTTACCCCTTGCAGTAGCACTTCAAATATTAAAGGAATTTTTTTTTTTTTTTTTAATAACAAACATGTTATACTTGCCTGCTGTGTGCAGTGGTTTTGCACAGAGCAGGCCTGATCCTCCTTCATGGGTCCCCCATCAGCACTCCTGGTCCCTTCCTCCTGCTGATTGCTCCCAGAGCAAGCAGCATGCTATGGGGGCACCTAAGCAGGCTCGCTCCCAAGCCGCTGCTGTGTGTCTATTCATACACAGAGCGTGGCTCAGCACCACCACCACACCCCCCTCTCCTCATTGACTCACTGGCTGTGATTGAAAGTCCGAGGCTCTTGCGCACAGCTGGATCGCGATGGGGCTCAAGTATTAGGTGGGGCTGCTGCACACAGAAGGTTTTTTATCTTCAGTAAAGAACAAAAAAAACAGAGCGCACCAACCTTTCGCATTACCTCAGTAAGCAATTAGTGGATTTATTGCTATGGGAAATTTACTCACAAAAGTAGCAGTATAAACGATATAAAATCCCAAAACCGAGTCCCCGGTTTGGGAGACACGTGCAAATCCCATCCAGAGGGGAGACTCTCCGGATGAAGCCAACGCATTTCGAATGGGGGGGGGGGTCCCTTCTTCGTCAGAGCTCGTTTTTGGGATTTTATACTGCTACTCTTGTGAGTATATTTCCTATATCAATAAATCTACTTGTTCGCTTACTGAGGTAATGAGCAAGGTTGGTGCGCTGTTTTTTTTTTTGTGCTTTACTACAATTTGTATCGAGCTTCCCCAGCTTCGTGTCAGAGTCGCACAACCTTTGACCGGTCCTGGAGGAACTTCTATATATCATACTTTATATTGGTTTATCGGCACTCTACTGATCTGGGTCCCCGAGCGCAGGAGGTGTTGTATCTCTAACCCTTAAACCTTTACAACCACTTTACCAGCTAACAAAGCCTAAAGTAGCAGCCTGACTACATAACATCAAATATAGAAATGGCCTTACATGTATACTTACCAACAAAGCTAGATTAGGTCTGGGCATTTAGGCTTTGAAGCATTCAAGTCTTGAAGAAAGAGTGCACAAGCCGATTTAGGCGAGTATAAATCAATCTATAGAGGTCTCATCACTGAGATAGAACATTATGGATAGGTAAACTTCCCAGAATCTAGCAAAAACTTAAATCTTTGTTTTGTCTGGACAGACCCTATAGTATTATTTAGCATAGAAATGGTAAAGGGCATTACCTCTGCCTCTGGTACAGAAGTCTTTGCTCCTCATCCATTAGTAGTTGGCGTCTCTGTTGCTCTGCTCCTCGGAGGAGCTCTTGCTGTTGATACCAGGCTTCATCTTCAGCTCTGCGTTTTATTGCTTCTGCTTCAACTTCATGGGTTATTTGCCTGCAAATATATTACAAAGATTAGCTTGCAGCCGACTTAAAATCCACAAATGTACCCCTGACAAAAAAAAAAAAAAAAAAAAAAAAAAAAAAAAGGCCAGCATTGGGTTTTGACGACATTTTTCGCCATTTTGTGCACTACAAAAAAAAAAAAAAAAAGAATTCAGACATGTGAAAAAGCTATTTAAATGCCATAATAAATAATGAATTTAGGGCTGTGTCTGCAGATTTCTGGTAATATTTGTAGCATTAAATAGTGAAAGTGTCCCATACTTCTCTCGTAAGTATTCCAGTTCTTCCTGGTGAAGCCTCTCCCTCTCTTGACTCTGATAATCCACAATAAATTTGGGGTATTTATTGAATATGGGATACTGTCCCTTAGTGAGGGGCACAAATTCACTGAGAAGGCGCTGAGGGTGGATCTCGGCTGGGGTGGCATCCATGAGATGGTACGATTCTTTAATCATCAAGTTGATATCCAAGTTATTCCGGTGATGGAAAAAATACTGCAGAAACACAAAAGGCAACATATACATGTGAATAAGCTGTACATGGAATGCCAGACAAACAGAAATCCTACGTAAACAGGCAAAAGCATGGTGGGGTGGGAGAGGAGAGAGCAAGAGAAAACGAGGAAGAGAAAGAGCGAAAAGGGAAGAGACAAAGAAGGAGAAGACAGACAGAAAAAGAGAAAAAAAAAAAAGAACTAGAAAGAGAAAACACAAACAAAAAAAGAAGAGAGTGAGAAAGAGCAGAAGAGATAAACAGGCTGGATTTCTTCATATTGTTAGCAATTCACACACTGCCACAGTGCATAGCCAGGATGGTTGATGCGATATATACTGCCTCTTTCTGTGTCATCTACCTGCCCACAAGACAATGAAAGAGAATATATATATATATACTGGCTATTTTTATTATAATTTTTAACGTTTGTCTGTTTTGCACTTAAAACTTGCATTCTAGAGACAGTAAACAGTCACTGAGCTTGTTTTTTTTTTTTTTTTTTTTTCTTCTATTAAGGGTATTGAACTTGGATGGAGTAAGGGGTGTATGAAATGCCCAAGGAACACTACGTGTCATTTCTATCTGCTGCTTTGTTCCTCTGCTATCAGCATGAATCACTTCTGACAGGTTTTCCTGACACCAAGAGAAAATTGGTGAGGGAGCTCCAGCAGATTGACAGCCTCAGCTCTGTTACTATGAGCTGTGTGGAAGGGGGGGGGGGTTCTTTCCCTCCAATTAGCTCTCAGAACTCTTCTCACTGAGCTCTGCAGAGTGTAATTTCAGCTCTCTGCCCCCTTTAAAAATGCTGGACTCTGAACAGATGTGGAGAAGAGCAGATAAACAGGTACAACTTATGTAGGAGGATTTATTTCAATTCTGTGTATCACCTGAGGCCAGTCACTTTACTGGGTATATGTAAGAGTTTACTACCACTTTACCGCATGCCGCCCAGCCACTGTACATATACGGCGGCAGGGCGGCACTCACAGGCAAAACCACTTTTTAAGACGTGTGTTTTGTAAACAAATAGGGGGCGCGCGCGAGGCGCGCCGCCGCCCTATCTGTCCTGCGGATCACCGCCGCAGATGTCAGTCGCCGGGTCACAGCCGCTCGTTAGCGGCTATGTCCCGGCGATCGGCGGCAAACAGTGACAGAGAGCACAGCTGCAGTAGCTGTGCTGTCTGTCACTTCTCTGTCAGCTCGAGGATGAGCTGATCGAGAAAGAAGAGTTTCTCTTTCTCGATCAGCCTTGTCCCGCCCAGCACACACCCCCGCCCCCTAGTAAAACACTCCCCTCACTCCTATAACCCTTCCCTGCAAAATAAAGTTAACCCCTTCCTCCCCATTGCCATTAGTACAGTGTCAGTTTTTTTTTTTTTTGCACTGATCACTGTGTTAGTGTTTTTGGGGATGTCAGTGACCCCAAGTCAGTACCCCCCAATGTCAGAATGTCCGCTGCAGTCCCGCCATAAGTCGCTGGTCGCTGCCATAAGTCCCTGATCGCCGCCATAATTCGCTGATCGCCGCCATTATTAGTATAAAAAAAAACCTAAAAATCCCAGTATCTTTCCGCCATTTGTAAACGCTATAACTTTCACGTAAACCAATTAATTTACACGTATTGGGTTTTTTTTTTTTTAGCAAAGACATGTCGCAGAATACATTTTGGCAGAAATTTATGACTAAATTTGATTTTTGCATTTTTTTTTTTTACTGGACATGTTTTTTTAGCAAAAAGTCCAAAATATTGTGGTTTTTTTTCCTCAAAATTGTCAGCCTTTTTTTTTATAGTGCAAAAAAATAAAAACCGCACAGGCGATCAAATACCACCAAAAGAAAGCTCAATTTGTGGGGAAAAAAAGGATGTAAATTTCATTTATGTACCGTATTGCATGACCGCGCAATTGTCCGTTAAACTAGCGCAGTGCTGTATAGCAGAAAAATGGCGTAAATTGCAGTATCTATACCATAGTTTGTAAACGCTATAACTTTCACAGAAAGCAATCAATATACACTCATTGGGATTTTTTTTACCAAAAACAACATGTAGCAGAATACATTTTGGCCTAAATTTATAACCAACTTTGAGTTTACGATATTTTTTTTTATAGCTGAAAGTAAAAAAATATTGTTTTTCTTCTTCAAAAATTTTGGCCTTTTTAGGTTTATAGCGTGAAAAAATAAAAAGCGCACAGATGATCAAATACCACCGAAAGAAAGCTCTATTTGTGTGAAAAAAAGGACGTAAATTTCGTTTGGGTGCAGCATTGCATGACCGTGCAATTATCAGTTGAATTAGTGCAGCGCGGAGAGTAGCAAAAAGAGGCCTGGTCATTAAGGGGGGTAAATCCTCAGGTGGTCAGGTGGTTAAGCTGAAACTGTAGCATTTTCCTTATGCCCTCCCATACTTTCTACATCACTTTTTTACAACAAAAACACGCTTCATGCTTTTGTACAAAGAGATAAATGCATTACAGCCTCTCACTTCCTTACATTAGAGTAACTTGTATACAAAGCAGAGAGGGTACCTCAATGTCTTCCTTCTGGTTGCAGTGCAGTAAAGGGGAGCGCGAGCACAGGACATAGGCCACTACCGCCATCAACAGGAAAGAGGGATGGTTGGAAAACACATTATCAAACAGCTTCAGCCATTCTTCTCTGGTTAAAACCTCAGAGAACAGAGTTTCCAGGAGTGGCCAGGCATAAACCTAGAATACAGGGACTTTCATTCAACAGCAAATCAAACTTCACCAAAAAGCAAATTAAACTTTTTTTTTTTTTTGTAAGTAATGTGTGGCAATGCAGACAAAGCTCAGGGATTTCTCCTTGGAGAGAGGAAGGGATATAATACACAAAGTGCCAACATCCCTAACGAATACAAGGGGGGAAAAGTCCTCTTTTTTTGGTGGGACTTTAACGGGGCAAATTTACTTGAATGATAAATTTCAAAAATTCAAAAGAGATTTTTTATAAAATGCTTCTTTGGATAGACCTGGCCATCAACACTTTCTCACGCAAATTCCTTATGGTCATCACTTCGCACTCATAGTAGCAAAGCCCTATCAGTACCCACCAGCAGGTAATCTTGTTGACAGTGCATTTATTTATTTCAGGTACTTATATAGCGCCATCAATTTACGCAGCACTTTACATATATATTGTACATTCACATCAGTCCCTAACCCCTATTTTTACAATCTTCAAAAATAAATATAAAGCTACAATACATATTGCGGCAGTGTCATCAGAGATGATATTGCAAATCTAATCATGGATCATGCATGGTTCGCACTTGACGCGTTTCGAGATCAACAAAAATCTCTTCCTCAGAAGTGCTCAAGAAGGCATGACGTATGATTCTATGTGTAGTAAAAACCGCCAGGGAATATTAAGAACAAATTACTATGTGAACACAGGCACGGATTTCTCGTATATCTCAGGCAAAAATGATGAAACAAAACTGAATATAGAAAAAAACTAAGACCAAGATGAAGGGTGCCGCCCAAACGCCTCCTGAAGGGGCCCCGGGCAGCACAGTGGCTAAATTGTTAGCACTTCCGCCTGGCAAAACTAGGGTCGTTGGTTCGAATCCCAGCCACGGCACCACTTGCTTGGAGTTTGCATGTTCTCCCTGTGCCTGCGTGGGTTTCCTCCAGGAACTGCAAAGACATGCTGGTAGGTTAATTGGATCCTGTCTAAATTGTCCCTAGTATGTGTATGTATGAATGTGAGTTAGGAACCTTAGATTGTACACCCCTTGAGGGTTAGGGACTGATGTGAATGTAAAATATATATCTATGTAAAGCGCTGTGTAAATTGACAGCACTATATAAGTACCTGAAAAACTATTCTTACACCGGCACTTGCAGTTTACAACTCTCAATGCTGCTAGCTCCTGCTCTCTCAGAGCTGCTTCCTGAACATCTGGCCTTCACAGGAAAGAGTTAACAGTGGATGGTGCAATCTCCAGTCAGTCTGTTGACTTGGAAAAGGGAGGGGGGTGGAGAGAGGAGTGTGAAAGTGCCTTGTCATTATAGGCTATGTATGGGATGGGTGTTTCTATTGAGGAGAGACACGAATCTAGTCCCTGCACGCAAGGGTGGCTCCATGGGACACTGCAGGAGAAAGAATCCACCTTGAACCAGGAAACCTGGGGCAGCAGTCATGAATTGTGACCAGAAACGAACTCTCCTGCGCTCCGAGACCCAGATAGATGGAACCAGAACTGGAAAAATTCGACCACCAGTGCATATAGGGTTGTGCAGCTCCAAACAAGGCTGGGGAAGCCCGACCAATACTGCAAAGCGAAACAAAACAAAAAGCGCACCAACCTTGCGCATTACCTCAGTAACCAAATTTTATTCAATACAGAATGATACTCACAAACAGCGAAGTAATTCAAGCATTTAAGTCCTCACAGGGACTTGAACATTAGGCAGCCTGCGCGAGTCCCATCATAGAGATAGACACTCAGAGCAGCTGACGCGTTTCGAAGGGCATCCCTTCTTCCTCAGAGCTGTCTGAACTATGAGTGCTCTCTCCCATATATACCCAAGGACTGAAGCTAGACCCTCCCTTCTGGGTTGGGCAGTCTCAGGCTGGGAGGAGGGGCCAAGGTGTCATCCGAATAAATAACAATATATATGTGTGATACAATCATAGAAATACATTATAAAACTTAATTAAAAATACATTAAAAAAATCTATCTATCGATATATATATATATATATATATATATATATATATATATATATATATATATATATCTATATATATATATATACATACATACATACACATACACACACACACACACACACACACACACGCACACACACACGCACACACACGCACACATGCCTTTAAAGTGCATTGGAAATAAAACAATTGAAAAATTTCAATTTCAATTTGCAATCATGTCCTGATGAGGATAGTGACTGATTGAAGTAGGTATGTGTATAAGTATAAACAATACATTAATTATATATATTTTTCAAATGGAACTTATATTGAAGTAGAATTGTTAAAATGTTAAAATTTTTAGTTTTTAGAAAATCGATTTTATATATACATATAATTATTTTACATTCATTTATTTTACATATATTATTAATGCTTGGTATATCACTTCATATGCAGTGTCCCTTTCCTTTTTTAAAATTTTTTTAAAATGGATTTTCTAAAAACAAAACATTTTAACAATTCTACTTCTACCCCTATGAGGGGACTCGCGCAAGCTGCCTAATGTTCAAGTCCCTGTGAGGACTTAAATGCTTGAATTACTTCGCTGTTTGTGAGTATCATTCTGTATTGAATAAAATTTGGTTATTGAGGTAATGCGCGAGGTTGGTGCCCTTTTTGTTTTGTTTCGCTTTGCAGCAGTCATGAAACCAGCTTAAAACTGGAACACAAGCAGGGATTAAAAGATAAAGCTGCATATTCAGTAAGTGATTACATCAGCAGCTTAAAAAAACTGAGTGTTGAATATCAATTTAATGAATCTACAAATATAATGCTTTGGTTTGAGAGCTTACTATACAAAAGGCGTATCGGTTACCTGAGACGTAACTCCAAAATTCAAGAAATGCTGAAGAACTTCCTTGTCGTGATGTGCCAAAACATTCTCAACCATGCCAAGGATGTTGATCGGTGGATTAGGGAAGTACTCGAACCAATGCTGACACCAGTTAGCTGCAGAGGCACATAATAGGTTATCACAGGCTAGGCCAATACATGGCCCTCCGGGTTTTGGGAGGACAATCCCCACGCACACTCCTACTTGCACGTTTCACACCTGAGGAAGGACACTACTGGCTAATATGATCAGAACAACAGGTTTGAATGCTATAAATGTTCACACTAGGACATTCTTTCTAAACAAAACAAACACAAAAACAACTTACTTGTGACAGTAGCAACAACTTCAAAGCAGATGAGCTGATTGTTCTGAAAAAGCTTGACAAATGGAAAGGCCAGCAGAGGTAAGTATTTAGTCTCTCCAAATATCGCAGACCAATGAGCCAAGGCTGAAAGTGTCCTGGTGAGCAAATGAAAACAGAAAAAAAAAATGGTTTTATTTGGGAATTTCTGTTCATGCTATTCCCAGGAGATTAATGGCCAGTTCACACCGGATGTGTTTCGGATGTGTTTTTGTATGCGCATTCCAGTGCATTTTTCATGTGTTCTGGTTCATTTTTTTTCTCCTTTCTTTTTCTTCAACTTAATGACATGTGCGTCCCAGTGAATTTATGTACGTTCTAGTGCATTTTTTATGTGTTTTTCTTATTTATTTCAGGTACTTATATAGTGCTGTCAATTTACGTAGCGCTTTACATATATATTGTACATTCACATCAGTCCCTAACCCTCAAGGGGCGTACAATCTAAGGTCCCTAACTCACATTCATACATACACATACTAGGGACAATTTAGACAGGATCCAATTCACCTACCAGCATGTCTTTGGAGTGTGGGAGGAAACCGGAGTACCCGAAGAAAACCCACGCAGGCACAGGGAGAACATGCAAACTCCAGGCAGGTGGTGCCGTGGCTGGGATTCGAACCAACGACCCGAGTACTGCCAGGTAGAAGTGCTAACCATTTAGCCACTGTTCTGCCTCTTGCATTCCAGTATAGTTCAGTGCAGAAAAAAATGCAGCATATTCTACTTTTGTTTTTCTGGAAGAGTAACACACTGGAACTGACCGCACTGGTGTGAACTAAGTCATTGGAAACCAAGTAACCTAATATCAATGTGTCGATGCAGAAAAAAACAAAAAAAAAAAACCTGTACTGGACTGAATGCGGTATGAACTGGCCCTAAAACACAATAAAATTCTACAGTGTATGTCAAGGCAAAAAAAAAAAACAAACCAAAAACATGACTGCCATACATACATATTTCTCCATGGTTTATTACTTGATTATAATACCTATATTTTTATTAAAGGTTAACAAGAAACAAGTGGGACAGCATTTCTGTTTACATAGTAAATGACAATATCAAATAGTTACCAGCCTCTTACATAATATCCAAAAAACAAAAAAAAAAAATTGTCATTATCTCAGAACACATCATCATAAAAACTGGTGGTACACCGAAATGAAAATTCTTGGACCGAAACCAAAAATTCATGATGCATTTGGCTGAAAACCAAAAAGGACAGGTTTTTTTTTTTTGTTTTTTTTTTTTATAAATTGTACGTTATTAGACTTTTTAATTAATATCACGAATATCAATTTTATTTTCAGCGCCTTTTAGGTCGATAGGCTGCTTTCACACTGAGCAGTTTTTGCAGCACTTTTGTGTTTAAAAAAAAGGTACAAGAAAATACATCCCTTTAAATTCAATGTATGTCCTTACACTGGTCCATTGTGCTTCTCGGGGTTAAAAATCCTGCTTGCCGCATTTTTAGAGCATATGTGGCAAGTTTAAAAAAAAAAACAACAAAAAACACACCTCCCCATCAAGGCCTGGTTCACACTACTGCATTGTTTAAAGCTTTTTGTAGAAACACACTACAGTCCATTTAAGATGATTTCCTATGCGACACATTCACATCAATGCTGTTTTGAGCTGCTGCGTTTTTGGAAAGGGTCAGGGACTTTTTTAAAGGCAAAACATTAGCAGTTCAGACTTCAATGGAGACGCTGAAGAAAACGCATAAAGTGCGTGTAGTTTTCACACGTTTCGCTACTTTAATCTGCCCGGCAAAAAAAAAAAAACCCATTCAAAAAACACAAAATGCATAAAAAAAAAAATTAGTCAAAAATGCAGGTGCACAAAATGGACAAAATGCAAACTGCATTGGTGTGAAACAGACATGAAATCCATTGAAAATGCATTAAAAAGGCATGTGTTGTTTTTTTAATTACAGGTACTTATATAGCGCCGTCAATTCACGCAGAGCTTTACATATATATTGTACATTCACATCAGTCCCTAACCCTCAAGGGGTGTACAATCTAAGGTCCCTAACTTACATTCATACATACACATACTAGGGACAATTTAGACACAAACTAATTCACCTACCAGCATGTCTTGCTGTGTTTTGCATTTTTAATCTATCCAGCAACAAGTTGTCCCCAAAAAAAACAAAAAACAAAACATTCAAAAAACAAAAAATGTGGCAAAATCGTGTGTGCAAAAACGCAGAGCGCACTGCAAATGCTCAGCCCCCTTTTTTCCGATTGGCAAAATGCCAATAACACTATTTTCGGCTAATACATTTCGGCCGCCGGTACATCAGTGCATCTCTAATAAAAACATAACGATAAAAAGGACAATTACGTAGTGGACGTAAAACTACCTGCCAATGGTAGCAAGCTGTGGACAGGTCTAATCAAAAATTATGTACCAAAAAAGAAAAAATTAACAAGAATGAAATGGGAGTTAGGACTGGTTCACACTAGTGCAGGCCATGTGGCCCTCGTTTGCGTGGGCACGGCAGCACATTCATTTGAATGGGTTGCTATGCCCGAGTTTCATGCAAGGAAAAGGTGCATGCACCTTTTCCAAAATGCATTAGCATGGAAGTCGCATGGTCTTTTTGACCATGCGGTTGCTGTGCAGATTGTGCCACGGGATGAGATGCGTTGGGGTGTCTTGCAGAATGAATGGCACCCTGCACATCTCGCAAGAGAAACACAATGCAGCGGTGGGTGGTTGCGGGTATCGCATTGATTCCCAAAACCAGCTCACAGCGTACGGGATAGTATGAACCAAGTGTCACACGTCCTATCAGGGTTAGACTTCAAGTGAAGCACTCCTCCTGTATACCTACTTCAAGGCTATCAAAGGGTTACAGTGCAAACAGCAAAGATCATATAAGAATACTACCATACGGGTCTCAACCAGGGGTGGACTGACCATTTGGAAACTCAGGCACTGCCCGAGGGCCAGGGGTCAGTAGGGGGCCCCATGAGATGCCCCTGGTACCTTTTTCATAGGCTTTTTTAAGTTTGGGCAAGGACACAGGGGCCCCATGATCCCCTATTGCCCGGGGGCCCCATGAGTTGTCAGTCCGCCCCTGGTCTCAACGCTTTAGGATACTTCAACCATATATTCCAGCTGGAGAAAAAAAAAAAAAAAAAAAAAAAAAAAAAGGTATCCGCTCTATGGGCTAGCATCTTTTCATACAGATCCAGGATTTATTTCATTAACCCCTTCACCGGCAGAGCTATTTTTCGATTTTTTATTTTGTGCACATGAATATGTAAAATGTGCCACATCCCTATTACACTCAAACAATTTATAAAAAAAAACTGACATGCTGAGACTTTTAAGGCACAACAAGAAATGATATTAAAAATATATAAAAATTTATTTGTATGAAAAAAAATTGTTTGTACACGGTAAAATGCACATTTTAGGCCAGGATATAAGTACAAACCCCCAAAAACTATATACGGTATTTTCTGAACCTTGGAGAATAAAATGGTGTCAGTTGCAATTTTTTATGCCACACGATATTAGCAAAACTCTTTGGCAAACCAATAATTTCAGTTAAAAACAAACTGCACACAAACACAATACCCATTTTTTTTGTGAAATATAAAAGATTAGGTTACATCCAGTAAATATATACCAAAATATGTCAAGCCTTACAATTGCATGTGCCCATGAAACAGTGAGAAATGACAGTACCCAAAATTGTCGGTTTAAAAGCCTGTATAACTCATCAATTAAGAGTTATATTAAGTGATTTGTAAGCATTTCTGCAGCTGATTTAATCACTTACTAAGCATGCAGCTTCTTTATCCTTCACCCTAGGTTCACATCTGTGCGGGTGGTGCCGCTCCGGATCCGCACGAAAATCCGTGCAGACGCTCAACCCGCAAGGAGAAATGCGTACCCACGGGCGGGTGCCATTAGTTCTAATGGCAGGCTGTCTGAACTGGAAAATGCAACCGTACTGGGAACCGAGGTTCCCGTGCGGGCTGTGTTTTCAGAAGTAGTGCAGGGACTTCTTCCCTGCGTGTCACGGGCACGGGAGTGCATTCAAAAGAATGGGCTCTCGTGCCCGTGCAAAACGCAGCATGCACAGCCGCATAGATGTGAACCGGGGGTCTCTCCTTGCCTACACTGCAGTTTAAGCTGGTGCCCCAGGTTTTTGTTTCAGGGTGGCTCCTTGCAGCATCCTATGGAGTCACCCTTCAATACAGGGGCTAGGGTTGTCTCTCTCTACATTTGGTGCATCAATAGAAACACACGTACAGTGGGGCAAAAAAGTATTTAGTCAGCCACCAATTGTGCAAGTTCTCCCACTTAAAAAGATGAGAGAGGCCTGTAATTGGCATCATAGGTAGACCTCAACTATGAGAGACAAAATGAGAAAAAAAATCCAGACAATCACATTGGCTGATCTGGAAAAAAGTTATTTGCAAATTATGGTGGAAAATAAGTATTTGGTCACCTACAAACAAGCAAGATTTCTGTCTCTCACAGACCTGTACCTTCTTCTTTAAGAGGCTCCTCTGTCCTGCACTCATTACCTGTATTAATGGCACCTGTTTGAACTTGTTATCAGTATAAAAAGACACCTGTCCACAACCTCAAACAGTCACACTCCAAACTCCACTATGGTGAAGACCAAAGAGCTGTCGAAGGACACCAGAAACAAAATTGTAGACCTGCACCAGGCTATGAAGACTGAATCTGCAATAGGCAAGCAGCTTGGTGTGAACAAATCAACTGTGGGAGCAATAATTAGAAAATGGAAGACATACAAGACCACTGATAATCTCCCTCGATCTGGGGCTCCACGCAAGATCTCACCCCATGGGGTCAAAATGATCACAAGAATGGTGAGCAAAAATCCCAGGACCACACGGAGGGACCTAGTGAATAACCTGCAGAGAGCTGGGACCAACGTAACAAAGGCTACCATCAGTAACACACTACACCGCCAGGGACTCAGATCCTGCAGTGCCAGACGTGTTCCCCTGCTTAAGCCAGTACATGTCCGGGCCCGTCTGAAGTTTGCTAGAGAGCATTTGGATGATCCAGAAGAGGATTGGGAGAATGTCATATG